GAGTATTCTTTTACCTACTCACCTCTCTCCCTTCCCGTGGACTGAGTCTTGGAAGGCAGGAGGATGTCTCCAGCAGAGCGTGGTGCACAGAAGACCCTGTGTTTTGCACTCCTGTTTTTGAGAAAACAGTCTCGTCTTTCACTTAAGCATTTCTCACAGTGGGAGAGTGGCAGGGAGGAGGCTCCATGGCCTTTTGCTCAGGAGTCAAGAATAAAAGACACAGTTTCCATGTGCTCTTTTCATCTTATTAAACACAAAGTATATTGTGGGTAATGAGGATGAATCCCTCAGCAACACTGATCTGCTACAGTCGTAGGGGCCCACTCTAAATTCTGTGTTGCTCACACGTGTCCACAAGGGTTTCTTACAGGTGTGTTCTCAGGGGTCTGAGAGTTCATGGTTGAAGGTGCTGCTCTTAGGGATGGCTAAGATACCATCTTCTTGGAAATGCCTGGACACCCCGTTAAGTGCCCCTGTAGCACTTACCTCGCTGTGTGCTATGAGTGTGATGGGTTTTCCCATTCGCTCTCTGAACCTCTCCTCTGAGAGTCAGGACTGTGCATCTGTAGTGCTTTTTTATGCACTCATGGTACAGCGTTCACTGGGATATATAATTACCCTGTCACAAGTTTGTCTTTCCTGTTGGACACTGGGCACTGAAATTCAGGGTAACCACTCAGCTTTGTGTCTCAAGCACCCAACATTGTGCTCACTCAGTCGAGGAAGTGCTCATTAAGTTGATAAGGTCCATGAAGAAGTGACCAGAGCAGGCACAGGGCAAACATTTGTTTTTTAATTTTTAAATTTATTTTGTTTAAGGGATACAACTTCATGCATTTAATATATACAAATTTGGGAACATAATGCTTCCTCCTCCCACTTCCCTCCCACCCATACTCCTGCCTTTCTTCCTCCTCCCTCTTCCTTTCCCATTCTTATTTTTCACAGAGATCAACTTTCAGTTCTTTCTTATACTCATAAGATTAACCCTATAAAAAGTAGAGAATTCACCAACTAGTATGAAGAAAAAAAAGAAGTAAAGAACAAAACAGACAAACATAAAAACAAGAAAAACATTATTACCTGACAGTCAAGGCAAGGGCTATTCAAAATCACAGCATCTCAAAGTGTCAGTTTCACTCCTATAGATTACATTTTACCACAGGTCAGAAACCATATGGTATTTGTCTTTTTGCGACTGGCTTATTTCACTAAGTATAATGATTTCCAGTTGCATCCATTTTGTTGCAAATGACGAATTTCACTTTTTTTTTTTTTTTTGGCCACTGTATAGTATTCCATAGTGTATATATACACCATAATTTCTTTATCCATTCTTCAGTTGATGGATATCTGGGTTGATTCCAAATCTTAGCTATTGTAAATTGAGCTGAAATGAACATGAGGGTATAGATAATTCTTTCATATGCTGATTTCATTTCCTTTGGATAAATTCCCAGGAGTGGGATGGCTGGGTCATATGGCAGGTCTATATTCATCTTTCTGAGATAGCTCCATACTGTCTTCGACAGTGGCTATACCAGTTTACATTCTCTCTCTCTCTCTCTCTCTCTCTCTCTCTCTCTTTAAGGGTTTATTTATTTTACTTGAAAGGGCTACACAGAGAGAGAAGGAGAGGCAGAGAGAGAAAGGTCTATCCACTGGTTCATTCCCCAGATGGCCACAACAGCCAGAGCTGTGCCAATCCAAAGCCAGGAGCCAAGAGCTTCCTCTTGGTGTCCTACGGGGGTGCAGGGCCCAAGGACATGGGCCATCTTCTACTGCTTTCCCAGGCCATAGCAGAGAGCTAGATTGGAAGAGGAGTAGTCGGGACTAGAACCGGTGCCCATATGGGATGCCAGTGCTTCATGCCAGGGCGTTAACCTACTGCGCCACAGTGCTGGCCCCTACGTTCTCGCTAACAGTGGATTAAGGTTGCTTTCTCCCTACATCCTTGCCAGCATTTGTTGTTTGTTGATTTCTGTATGAAAGCCATTCTAAATGGGGTGAGGTGAAACCTCATTGCAGTTTTGATTTGCATTTCCCTGATGGCTAATGATCCTGAGCATTTTTTCATGTGTCTGTTGGCCATTTGAGTTTTTTCTTGAAAAATAACTGTTAAGGTCTTTTGCTCATTTCTTAATTGGATTATTTGCTTTGTTGTTGTTGAGTTTCTGGAGCTCTTTATGGATTCTGGAAGTTAATCCTTTGTCAGGTGCATAGTTTGCAAATATTTTCTCCCATTCTGTCAATTGCCTCTTCACTTTGCTGATTGTTTCTTTTGCAGTGGAGAAGCTTCTCATTTTGATGTAATCCCACTTGTTAATTTTGATTTTGATTGCCTATGCTTCTGGGATCTTTTCTAAGAACTCTTTGCTTATGCCAATATCTTGTAGGATTTTCCCAATGTTCTCTAGTAATTTGATAAGTCATAGATTTAGGTCTCTGATCCATTTTGAGTGGATTTTTGTGTCAGGTATACAGTAGGGTTCTTGTTTCATACTTCTGCCTGTGGAGATCTAGTTTTCCCAGAACCATTTGTTGAAAAGACTGTCTTTGCTCCAGGAGTTCATTTCAGCCCCCTTTTCAAAATAAGTTGTTTGAAGACACTGTGGCAAAAAATGACCTACATGATGGCTCTGGCTAAAACTTCCAGAACTATATTGAATAGCAGTGGTGAGAGTGGGCATCCTTGTTTGGTTCTGAATCTTAATGGGAATGGCTCCAATTTTTCCCCACTCAATAGGATGCTGGCTGTGGGCTTGTTATAAATTGCTTTGATTATGTTGAGGAATGTTCCTTCTATACCCAATTTGCTTTAGGTTTTCATTGTAAACAAGTGTTGAATTTTATCAAACACTTTCTCTGCATCTATTGAAATAATCATATGGTTTTTGTTCTTCAGCTTGTTAATGTGGTTTATAACATTTACCGATTTTTGAATGTTGAACCATCTCTGCTGTGAGCAGCTCTAGGCAACCAAGGAGCTCTGAGAGTGCGCCACAGCACTCTGTGATTGCCCAGATCCCAGCTACATTTGGTCTCTTCTCCTGCAATCACTGTTCTCTCAGTCCCAGCACCCAGGGCTCTCAGGGTCAAGGAGTCCAAGTGGAGCCACTCTGCCCTGCTAGCCTGTCCTGACTGCAGGGGACTGAGGTGCTCCCAGGGCCACTGTCCATGTATGTTCCAGCCTTCTGGACCGAGTCCTGCCCTCCCAACCAGACTTGATGCCAGTGGGATACGTGGGTTTTGCTCTCTGGTAAGATCTCTGGATCACAGGCACGCACCACCCCCACCAGCCGCAGCCCTGCTCACTTCACAGTTGAGCTGGGTGCACAGGAGAGTTCACAGGCGGCACTTCCCTTTCGTGGGGATGGCTCTCCCTCCCCTCCCATTGCCAGGTGGGTTCAGCTGGTGAGGTGGAGACTCCCTCTGTCAGTTGCTCTTGCACTGCCGTGGGTGCCCACACCAACTGGGTGGAGAGCGACCCCAACAATTGCTGGGTGCCTGCACATGGCAAACATATTTTTAAAGTTTTTGTTCTTTGGAGGTTGAGGCTCACTGGGTAATTTCTTTTTTTTAATTTTCAAAATATTTTTATTTCAAAATTTTTCTTATAGATATTTTTGCCCAAGCTGTTTGTCTTTAATATGGTGAGCACAGTTATTCTTGGAGTAGACTCTGTTATTTGGATTGTCCATGTGCTTGGTTCCCATGAACTACTTGCTGCTCACTGTGTTTCCCTCGTGTTTTAGTGAGAGCACTCACACCCTAGGATGAACGCCTGGAGAAGAAGGCGTTCTATGTCTTCATGACTCAATTTTGGTAGATTGTATGTGTCCAGGAATCTATCGTTTCTTCTAGGTTTTCTCACCTGTTGACATACAGCTCTTTGTAGTAATTCCTGATGATTCTTCTTATTTCTGTGGTATCTAAGGTTACATTTCCTTTTTCATCTCTGATTTTACTGATTTAGGTCTTTTCCTACTTTTTTTGGTTAATTGTGCCAGTTGTGTATCAATTTTGTTGATTTTTTCAAAAAACCAACTCTTCATTTCACTGATTGCTTGTGGGTTTTTTCTTCTTTTTTTTTTTTTTTGGTTTCAATGTTGTTTATTTCTTTAATTTTCTTTCTTTCCTCTGACTAATTTGGGGTTTGGTTTGTTGTTATTTTTCTAGGTCCTTGAGATGCATTGATAGCTCATTTATTTGGTACCTTTCCAATTTCTTTTTTTTTTTTTTTTTTTTTGACAGGCAGAGTGGACAGTGAGAGAGAGAAACAGAGAGAAAGGTCTTCCTTTGCCGTTGGTTCACCCTTCAATGGCCGCCGCGGCCGGCGCGCTGCGGCCGGCGCACCGCGCTGATCCGATGGCAGGAGCCAGGAGCCAGGTGCTTTTCCTGGTCTCCCGTGGGGTGCAGGGCCCAAGCACCTGGGCCATCCTCCACTGCACTCCCTGGCCATAGCAGAGAGCTGGCCTGGAAGAGGGGCAACCGGGACAGAATCCAGCGCCCCGACCGGGACTAGAACCCGGTGTGCCGGCGCCGCTAGGCGGAGGATTAGCCTAGTGAGCCGCGGCGCCGGCCCCTTTCCAATTTCTTGATTTAGGCACCATTTACTATAAACTCCCCTTGTAACATTGCTTTTGCTGTATCCCATAAGTTTCGATGTGTTGTTTTGTTGTCTTCATCCATTTCCGGGCGCTTCCTCTGGGTCTCCCACATGGGTGTCAGGAGCATTTTTTGCTGCTTTCTTAGGCCATTGGAGGTGGAGCAGCTGGGACTGGATCCGGTGCCCAGATGGGATGCTGGCATTGCAGGTGGCAGCTTTACCCTCTGTGCCACAATGCTGCCCCTAAATTTCAGATTTTTTAAGAGAAGTTGGTTCCTGGTTGAAGAGAGAGCTTGTATGGCCGGGGGAAGGAAGCATGTTACTGGGAAGTGTTATTCAGGCTGTTCTGGGTTTTATTTAAAAGGTCTTTTAAATTCATCTTCTATGGCAGAAATGCAATGGCGCATCTTGATTCTGAGGTGAAAGAAGAATGCCTGAGGGAAGACTTGAAGTTTTATTTCATGAACCCTTGTGAAAAATACCGAGCCAGACACCAGATTCCGTGGAAACTGGGCTTGCAGCTTTTGAAGATAGTCATGGTCACCACACAGGTAATTTGTGTTATCATCTTGTTCAGCTCTCTTCCTTACTCCAAGATAAAATTGTTTTCATGGGTTCTGTACTTACTTTTATTCTGAAAAGCCCACAGAACTGTAAAATTGTTTGGGGGCTGACGTTCAATTTAGTAGATGACATTGTTTTAGTAAGAAATGATGAGCTCTTCTCTGCACAGGTGCTGCATATAGTAGATAAATGCCGATCTCTCTGTCTTTTTTAAAAAAGATTTATTTAGTTGAAAGGCAGAGTTACAGAAAGGTGGAGGTCTTCCATCCGCTGGTTCGCTCCCTAAATGGCTACAACAGCCAGAGCCGGGCTGATCTGAAGCTGAGAGCCAGGAGCTTCTTCCTGGTCTCCCACATGGGTGCAGGGGCCCAAGCAGTTGGGCCACCTTCTGCTGCTTTCCTAGGTGCCTCAGCAGGGAGGTGAATTGGAAGTGGAGCAGCTGGGTCTTGAACTGCAGCTCATATGGGATGCTGGCGCTGCATTACCTGCTATGCCACAGCGCTGACTTCTTGATCTCTAATGACTGAGTTTTCTGCAGGAGCACTTCAAACAGCTCATGGAAAAATGGAATTAAAAGGCTAAATTTATTTTGTTGAAAAAATGATTCAAACATTTTTTCATAATGCATGAAAAATGAGTATTATAAAAACTATTTATGAATTTCAAATTTTTTTACACCAAAATAAACTCATATTTTTAATTCCACTTGTCTTTGAACTTTCTGAAGTACCCTTGTATGTCTGAATGAGGTCCATGGGCCTCCTAAGGATGCCACTCCAAAATGATTTGTGTTCTTTAAACCTCTCACTTTTATTCAAAGATACTTTTGATATCTGCTTTTTTTTTTGTCTGCCAATTTACAGAATGCTATTTTCATTTTATTACTAGCGATGTGCTAGGTGCTAGCAGGAGTGTGCAAAAGCTACGTTTGGATTTTCTGTGTAAGTTCCTGTTGGTGAGCACTTTGTCACAACATGAAAGCAGCTGTCCGAGGTGTCCCCTAGTTTTCAGGGCTGTGGTACTGAACCAGTCTTCAGGAGGTTTCTCTGTAGATAACGCCATTTGAAACATATGCTCTTTCAAAAACAGTATTGGGGTTGGTGTTTGGTGTAGCAGTTCAGCCTCTACTTAGCACATCTGCATCCTATATCAGACTGCCTGGTTCGAGTCTTGGCTCCCTCACTTCCAATCCAGCTTCCTGCTAATGCACAGTCTAGGAGGCGGCACATGGTAGTTCAAAACTTGAGTCTCTGCTACCCATGTGGGAGACCCAGACTGAGTTCTGGGCTTCAGGCTTCGTCCTGGCCCAACCTTGGCTGTTGTGGGCACTTGGAGAGTGAACCAGTGAATAGAAGATTGATATCTCTGTCTCTTTCTCCCTTTAAAATAAGATGAAAATAAGTAAATAATAAACCTTAAAATAAAAACAGTGCTGTTAGGATATTTGGCTGCATTGTCAAAAATTACTCAGTTATCAATGTGAAATTATATAAAGATGTTATTTCTGAAACATAAAATAAGTATAAAAAAACCCACCCTCTGTGCTGGTATGTAGCATAGCAGCTAAGCCACCATCTGCAGTTGCAGCACCCCATGTGGGCACCGGTTCCAGTCCTGGCTGCTCCACTTCCAATCCAGCTCCCTGCTAATGTGCCTGGGAAAGCAGCAGAAGATGGTCCAAGCACTTGGGTCCCTGCAGCCACGTGGGAGACCCAGGAGAAGCTCCTGGCTCCTGGCTTTGGCCTGGCCCAGTGCTGGCCATTGTGGCCATTTGGGGAGTGAACCAGTGGATAGAAGATCTCTCTCTTTCTCTCTCTCTGAGTCTCTAAGTCTCTGTTCCTCTCTCTATAACTCTGTCTTTTAAATCAACAAATAAATCTTAAACAAACAAAAACAAAAATAAAAAAACCTTCGTATAGTTTCATGTTGCCGCATTCCCTTTCCACATGGAGGGTTTGTGGCCACAGCAGACGGAAGTCTTTGGGGCTGGTCACAGGAGAAGTCTCTACAAGGGACGGGATTTCCTCTCCTAGCAGAGAGGCCCAGAAGCCGGTGCTGCAGGGGTCTCTATATTGAGACAAATGGGAGATTTCCCTTCACCTAGTGGGGCAGGAGGTGGATATCGGGGGCCCAGCCAACGGGTGATCCCTCCTCACCTTGTCCGAGGAGGACCTTGTTCATTGGATACCTTGCGTGTTCAGGTCCCTGTTCGGGCGCCAGATACTGCTTAGTCCCGCCAAGCTGCACTGTTGGGGATGAGGAAGGCAGCGCTGCCTTTTCCCTCCACAAACACACTGGGGACAGGTTTCCGTGAACATGTCCGTGTTTATTCACAAGCACGTACATTATAAAGGGCAGGGAAGAGGGGTGTAACCAATTCTGGGGAACGCTGACCATAGGGCAGAACGGACACTGGCGCCCATATGCCTATCCAATCAGCTTGAAGGTCATGTAGACAGGATGGCTCCCCAGGTGGGCCTAATGGGTCTGGGTTGCATCCGGGAGCAGTTTACCTGATTGGCAGAAGGTGGGGGTGGGGAGGAATGTGCCTGGGCCCAGGTAACTGCTGAGACCGCCAGTTTCAGGGACGAAACTTTATTCTGCATTTGGGAAGAGGCCTTTCCGTTGCATCCCAGCTCATGAAGCTGAGGCAAAGCAAATTACTTCACAAGAATCAGGGTCACTGTAAATGTGTATGCTTATTAGCTTTTTCCATCTTGATTCTGAAATTTGAATTTCGTCAACCTGTAAAATGGGTGCATTGTTACTGTTACTTGGGAGAAAAGATGAGAGTAAGACCCATTTTTGCCATTTGTTTAATTTTGTTTCCAAGTTTCTTCTATTGCTAAACCAGCTCCTATTTCAGCTTTTTGATCAATGAATCTAACTATAATTCTAGCTTCCCTGGGCAAAAAAGCCAATTGTTGTCTTTGACTTTACCTCCTTTTACCTGGGAGCTGCTAAACTCAATTGATTTTTCCTTCAAAACTACATCCATTTGTGCTTTTCCACACTCATTACCTTCTGCCTAACACAGATGCTTATCTCATTGCTGAGTTAAGAATCCATCAGAAGTGTCTCCTTTGCTGGGCATTCTGTTGAAATACAGCTATGGACATTTCCAGGGCTGCCAACAGCTGGTCCTTAGCCTAGTGTTTGCCACGCACCAGGCTCAGGAAGTGTTTATGCAAATTAATCCATTTCCTCCTTGCTGTAACCCGGTGAAGTAGATTCCGTCATTATCTCCATTTTATGTATGAAGAAGCTGGGTTAAAAAAGCATGAAGCATTGGTTGGAAGCTGTTTACTTAAGAAGTGACCTTGAGTCCAACCAGCCTGGCTCTGGAGGTCGCACTCTATTTGTAGTTTTTAGTCTACATCTAGGTCCTGTGTGCAGACTTTGCAGTCTAGATGTGTTAACTAGGCTGCTTCTGGTCTTCATGTTACGTCTGCCTTTCTCATCCACATACCTACCAGTCCATTCAGTGCTAATACCAGATGACTTTTTCATATGATAGCTTTACTCCGCTGGTCAGAAACTTCTGCAGAACCCACCTTGGCACACAAGAAAACTTTGTCTCTTTATCCTGGAATGCCTGGATTTCCGAAGTCTCCTTCTACTCATCATTCCAGCAGTTTGTCATCTACTCTTTCCTACCCAAATCCTAGCCACATGGACCAACCCAGTGATTCACCCCCATGCCCTGTTTCACCCCTCAGGTCCCAAGGTACTCTCTCTCTCTCTCTCCCCCCCGCCTCTCTTGGCAGGTGCCATTTGCTATCCCATCTCCCCTACCTGCTTGCCTGAGCACCCAGTGCATGGTTTTCCTTCGTGATCCTGGCTGTGCATATCTCCAGCTTCATTAGTAATAAGAAAGTATTTCTGGGAACCAGTAATTTCTGTTCTGGTGCAGACATACCCTGTCTCCCCTAATAAAATTGGGAGGGCTTAGACTTCTGTTTCCATGCTACTTGGGTAACAGCTAATTAAAGAAGATTTTTTTAATACCTCTCCTCCCATCAGATCTCCTCCCATCCCACTTTTCGCTCCTCTTTTTTCTCTCCTTAGTGCTCTGCTCTCAAGTCTAATGAGAGATGAGTGGCATTTTATCTCAGTTGATGAGAAGGAAACTTTTAAAAATATTCCTTCTCTGCATTCTACAGTAGTTTACCATCTCGAGGAGGTGTCTGCAGTCTTTTGCTTGTTTTAGTCTTTCCCTCCCATGTTCTGTATACATATTAGAGCAGTATCTTCTTTTTACCTGCTACAGAATATTTTCTCCTATGTTGATTTTAGTGAGGTCTTAAATCTACGATGTCACATTGCACTAAATGATGATTTTTTTTTTTTTGTCACATGTGGTTCTCTCGGCAAATCTTAAGACCTAATTAGTCAGACTAGAATGCATTTTGCTGTCAACTCCTTTTAAAAAGTAAAGTTGTTCGGGCAAGATCTCATCCCTTACTCTTGCTCTGTGGGAAGTGTTTGGTTTGTCAGAGCAGGAAAGAGACTTCCCAGTTTTTTCCCCAAGATTCGTCCCCCTTAGAGCTGCTTTTATAAATTATTAATTTTATTTTATTTGTAAGGCAGAGATACAGTGACAGAGACAGAAAGAGATCTTCCATCCACTGATTTCACTACCCAATACCTGTAATAGCTGGACTGGGCAAAGCTGAAGCCAGGAGGCTGGAACTCAATCTTGGTATCCAACATAGGTGACAGTTCTTGAACCATCACCAGCTGCCTCCCAGGGTGGACTTTAGCAAAAAGCTGGACTGGAAGTCCTGCAAGGACTTGAACGCAGGCACTCTAATAGGTGATGCAGGTGCGCAGAACCCCGGTCTCTAAGAGGTGCTTTGAAGATCCCAGCCCTTCCCTGATACTGGGCCATATGTGTAGATGTTGGCTTGTTCTGTGAATGGTAGAATGGAAGAGACTTCTTGTTTCTGATGCCAGAAAACAGTGGCTCCAACCAGAGTTTACAACAGCATGTTCTTTCATTCTTAAAGCTGAGTTGATGAGCCTACAGTTCAAATAAAGTGGTAAGTTCAAAATCAGCGATTCATATTTCACTCTGACATTGTGATGCACGCTATTTCATTTCCCAAGAATAAAGCAGTGGGGAGAAAAGAAAAAAAATCTCTATCCTAGTGGAGCACAGTGTAATAGCTCCCTCCTAGGGTTTTAGGAAATGAAATGAACAATAATTATTATAAATGTTTAGCCCAGTCCTTGGTACTCAACACAGTTTTGTGCTACTTCAAATTGCTGATGTAGTTTTATGAAGCTGTTCTTTGGAACTTGTATTTGACATAGTTGACATTAGTATAAACCAAGAGTTGAGATTGTTCTTCTGATGTTTCGAAGTGAAGGTTGGTGATAGTAGAATGACCTTTTCCTTCCCTGGTAAGTAGTAAGATTCATATGTTCCTATACAATTTTCTTCTACAGCTTGTTCGTTTTGGTTTAGGCAACCAACTGGTGGTCGCTTTCAAAGAAGATAACACCATTGCTTTTAAGCATTTGTTTTTGAAAGGATATTCTGGCGTCGATGAAGATGACTACAGTTACAGCATATATACTCAAGAGGACACCTATGAAAGCATCTTTTTTGCTATTGATCAGGCAAGTATTTTGCTGTAGAGGACCTATACTTTATTTTTTTTTTATTTATTTTTTGACAGGCAGAGTGGACAGTGAAAGAGAGAGACAGAGAGAAAGGTCTTCCTTTTGCCATTGGTTCACCCTCCAATGGCCACCGCAGCCGGCGCACTGTGGCCGGTGCACCGTGCTGATCCGAAGCCAGGAGCCAGGTGCTTTTCCTGGTCTCCCATGGGGTTTAGGACCCAAGCACTTGGGCCATCCTCCACTGCCCACCCTGGCCACAGCAGAGAGCTGGCCTGGAAGAGGGGCAACCGGGACAGAATCCAGCGCCCCGACTGGGACTAGAACCTGGTGTGCCAGCGCTGCAGGTGGAGGATGAGCCTAGTGCCCATTAATGCATTCTTAAAGTATAGGTCATCGGGCTGGCGCCGCGGCTCACTAGGCACATCCTAGGCCAGCTCTCTGCTGTGGCCAGGGAGTGCAGTGGAGGATGGCCCAAGTGCTTGGGCCCTGCACCCCATGGGAGACCAGGATAAGTACCTGAATCCACCATCGATCAGCGCGGTGCACCGTCCGCGGTGCACCGCCGCAACAAAAAAAAAAAAAAAAACAAGGCAAAGGAGACATTTATATCTGTCTCTCTCTCTCACTGTCCACTCTGCCTGTCAAAAAAAAAATGCATTAATACTTCACCTTCTTGTTTCAACCAACAACAACCATTATGCATAGGATGGGCATTCGGTGCAGCAGTTAAGATAGCACTTGGGACTGGAGTGCCAGGATTTAAGTCCCAGCTCCAGTCCCAATTCCAGTTTCCGGGTAATGCTCACCCTCAGGGGCAGAGATGATGATTCAAGTAGTTGGGTTCCCTGCCATCCACATGGGAGAACCAGACTGAGTTCCTGGCTCCTGGCTTTGTTCCTGGCCTCCCCAACTGTTGCAGGCATTTGGAGAGTGAACCAGTGGCTGGAAGCTCTGCCTGTCTCTCCTTCTGCCCATCAAAAAAAAAAAAAATTAATGAATTCATTATTTAAAATTTTAAATGTTAAAAAAGAAAATTTTGAAAATTATACATATATTAAAATAACTAGGGCTGGTGCTGTGGCACAGCCTGCCCTGCCTAGTCAGCACACAGGTAATTTGTGTTATCATCTTGTTCAGTTGTTTTCCTTACTCCAAAATAAAATTGTTTCAAGGGTTCTGTACTTACTTTTGTTCTGAAAAATCCACAGAACTAAATCTACAGAAGTAAAATTGTTCAAAGGTTGAAGTTCAATTTAGTAGATGACATTGTTTTAGTAAGAAATGATGAGCTCTTCTCTGCACAGGTGCTGTATATAGTAGATAAATGTCCATCTCTCTCTCTCTCTCTCTCTCTCTCTCTCTATTTTTTTTTTTTTAGAAAAGATTCATTTATTTAGTTGAAAGAGTTACAGAGAGAGAGGAGAGACAGAGAGATATCTTCCATCTGCTGGTTCACTCCCCAAATGGCTGCAATGGCTAGGCTGATCCAAAGTCCCCTGCACCCACATGGGAGACACAGAATAAGCTCCTGGCTCCTCACTTTCAATTGACCCAGCCTCAGTATTGTGGCCACTTTGAGAATGAACTAGTGGATGGAATACCTGTCTGTCTCTCTCTCCCTTTCTCTGTAACTTTGCCTTTCAAGTAAATTTAAAAAATAATAAATAAAACAAATATATGTAGGGGAATAAAAATTTCTCCTCTACCCTTTAAAAAAGTAACTGTAATGTAAATTTTGCATAGCCTGGAAAAATGTTTATGGCAATTTTTGGAGCTACATTTATTTCCACACAATACAGTTTACCTATTTTGAATTTTTCTTTGAGATTTATCTTTTTGATATATTCCATCACACCTGCTCTTTTTGGTAAATTGCCCCAAATCAAGCAGACAGGCTATATTTATAATCTCAGAAGGTTTGATGAAGAGTTGAAACTCCATCTGAGATTCCATGCTATTTTGATGTCTTAGCATTAATAAACCTAGCTGAATTTTAAGAATATGGAATCTAACGTAGCTGTACTTTGGTGAGTATGAGAGATTGGTGGCCTTGCAAATTGGTGAATTTGCAGAAAACACTTAGAGTAGAAAAACAGTTCTTTCTTTTTCATTAACTCATCAATAAATATTTGCATGCCTATATGTAGCAGGTCCGTGTCTAGGCATTCAGAATATAGCAGTGAATAGAACTGATAAAACCCTGCCCTTCGTGAGCCTAATTCTAGAAGGGAGAGCTAGACAAGTGAGAGCAAGTGAGATGTGTATTGTTGAAATGTTGGGTCCCTGAAAACAATACCCCCCCAAAATGTGCTGATGAGCGAAGCTGAGTTTTTGCTTACAGCAGTGAGGCAGGTGCTGCCTTGGGTGGTCTCCGTATTTCCTCGGGAGAAGAGGGAGCCCTTCAATATGGGGCAATCTTGGTTAGAACTGGGTAAGGATCAAAATCAATCTTAAAAAAAAATCAGGGGTCAGCGTGTGCTACAGCAGGTTAAGCTGCTACCTGCAACAACTGCATTCCAAATGAGCACTCATCCTAGTTCCACTTCCTTTTTTTTTTTTTTTTTTTTTTTTTTTTGGACAGGCAGAGTGGATAGTGAGAGGAGAGAGAGACAGAGAGAAAGGTCTTCCTTTTGCTGTTGGTTCACCCTCCAGTGGCCGCCACAGCTGGTGCGCTGCAGCCGGCGCTCCGCGCTGATCCAATGGCAGGAGCCAGGTGCTTCTCCTGGTCTCCCATGGGGTGCAGGGCCCAAGCACTTGGGCCATCCTCCACTGAACTCCTGGGCCAGAGCAGAGAGCTGGCCTGGAAGAGGAGCAACCGGGACAGAATCCGGTGCCCCGACCGGGACTAGAACCCGGTGTGCCGGCACCGCAAGGCGGAGGATTAGCCTGGTGAGCTGCGGCACCGACCCCACCTGTTCCACTTCTAATCCAGCTCTCAACTAATGCACCTTGGGCCCCTGCCACCTACATGGGTGGCCGGGATGGAGTTCCAGGCTCCTGGCTTCCATTGCAGCCATTTGGGAAGTGAATCAGTGGATGGAAGTTCTCTCCAGATCCCTCTCTGTCTCTCTCTCTCTTTCTGGTTTTTCCTCTCTCTATATAACTCTGACTTCCAGATAAATAAAATAAATTAAAAAACAATTTGATAAGGATCATGATATAGTAGTCCAGGGTTGTGGCTGACACAGCAAGTTGAAAGCTGGTGGGGGGAGAAGGGGCAGTTCCAAAGCATCTTGGAGTTGTCATCAGGCAGAATTTTTAAATTGGTATTTATTTAAATGACTTTTTCCAGATCTTCCTGAAATAAACAGCACTGTTATTTGTAACTTTTGTGTTCCTGGACAAAAGTTTCTGCAATAGTAAAGTCATTATGAATGAAGATGGGGGTTAGCAAAGCCTTGTCAGTGCAGGTAGCCAAATAGTAAAGTTGTGCACACGCAAGCCGGGGTGTGGATGCTTTAGGTCCTCAGTGATGTGTCCCAGAAAGATCTCTGGAGATGGGCAGTGCCCAAGCAGTCATGCATGTTTGCAATATTCTTTGTGGTTTTTAAAAATCTATTTCTTAACTTCTATGTTATTTTTCTTTGAATTAACAGTAGTTATTGTATATGTTATGTATTTATGGGATACAGTGTAAGGTTTTGATGCACGTTTGCAATTGTCATTGCTATGTTTTTAATAGTATCATCGTCTAAAGAACATCTCCCTGGCCACCCTTGATTATGGGGAGAATGAAGAGCATAGGATCGGCCTGAAAGTCTGTAAGCAGCATTACAAGAGGGGGACGGTGCTATCGCCCAACGCCACACTGAGCCTTGACAGTGACGTCGAGATAGGTAACGTGGCAACTGTTTCATCGCATGCCTTTACCGTCTTCTGCACTAGGAGCACAAGTTCCCTCACGTGCAGCAGGCCACAGGGAGCTACTCAACCTGTCACCCTACCTTAGCCTGCCAAGATTCAGGGGTCCCATGGGTGGGTCTTTCTGGTGTAGCTTAGTGTTGTTGCTTTAGGGATAAATACACAGGTGTGTTCTTTTTGTTTAAGCTTTGTCCCTCAAGAAAGGGTAATTGGGCATTTTGGAAAAATGGGCCTGCATATATTAAATGAAGCAACATGTGTAGAGATGCAGAACATATAATGTTTGCAAAGGCAAATAGTGATTAAGAACTCATTTTCTTTTAGGAGATCTCTCAGCAAAACATGAATAAGGAAGTAAAATTGTTTTGTGCCAGCTCATTAAGGACTTCAAAGCATAGCATATGTCAATGCAAAGTGTTTGACTTAGAATCTCTGGGTTTTTGTCATCATTTCAACAAATGCTGTGTCTGTGTACAGCTTCTGTGAACAAGGCACTCACTGTCTTACATACCACAGTTGCAATGATTAAGTGGCTATGACTCCTCCAATAGCAACCAGTTTAGCAGCAAAGGTTCTAGTAAGTTAAAACGGTGATGTTGCTCATTACCATGGAAGGTCAGATGTAGGTCACGTTGGGCTATTCTGGGCAGGTGTAGGTTTGGGGGGAAGTCCAGAACAGGCCGTAGGGGGTCTTTTGTGGTTTGGGTGTTGAACGCTGCTTGCTCCCAATTGGTTTGGAGCTGGGTGACTGCACAGTCAAGTGAAAGATGGCTACAGATCAGGGCAGGAGGGGCTGGATTGAAGGGGTCCTGTTTCTACCCTGTCTCAGGAGTGTCACACCGTTCATGTGACATGTGAAAATCTCATCTCCAGGTGCTCTGCTGCCACAACAAAACAACCCTTGTAAGACACAGGTTCTGATCCTGTTTTGCCAGGCTGCCTGTTTGCAATCTCTTCAGATGTAAATGTGCCCCCTGGACTCTGAAAGCAAAGTCCCTGTAGAGCCAGCAGAGGTGCACCTGGAGCTGGCTCCCAGGCTGCCCTCAGCCACCATCTGGAGGTCTGTTGCTTGGCTCTGTAACCAGCAACCCTGAAGTGTCCTTTGTGTCTGCCGGCCTGAGATCTATGTGGTCATCCACCTACAGGAGCTAATCATATTTCACGCTTCATCTCTCCCCTAACCACCCCCTGGGCTGGTCAGCTGTGCTCCTGCCTGTGGGTGATTCCTGTAACTGTGATAGGAGGACTTGACCATGGGCTGCAAGCCTGAAGCCTATCTATCACCCTCTGCTTCACATGGACCATCATCTGCCTCTCTCCCTCTTAAAATTGTGACTCAAATTGAATGCACCATACCCGTTTCCCAGTGATTCATGTGCTGTTTTTCTCACTTGATTTTTCTTGGAAAATTGGTTAAAGAAATGAGGCCAAAGTCAACAGCAGTGGCTAGGTAGGACAGGCAGGGCTGGAAAGCAGGATTCATTCCACAGTTGGTAGACAGGGGCTCCTTTGTTCATTTCCTTCCTATCGGGATATGGAATATTTTGAACTAAATAGAGAGAAGTTAATTATGGATTTGATTTTATTTTGAGAGTTTGGTTAAGCAATTTAATTGTATTCTTTGATTCAACATATCTTGTTAAAGAAAATCTAAAGATGTATCCAAAAGGTATAAACAAGATTTTTAAAATCCAGGGTTACTACAGAAAGTTCATGCAAAAGTGGAATGAAAAGCTATTTATCTTGATGCAAACATTTTTGAAATCCATGCATAAGAGGGTCTTCAAAAAGTTCATGGGAAATGCATTATTATGAAAGAACTGTATCTGTATATTTGATACAGGACTTTAGATTTTCTTGGATGCTTCCAAGGAAGCCTGCAGATGATATGAAAAGGAATTGAGTTTGACTTCCTTGGTGTGGTGAATCACAGAAGCAGTTCTAGATTAATGATTCATGAATTTTGCATTATCTTTACTATTAAGAGAATCATCTTTAGGGTGCTAAATTCAGTGATCTGCCTATATGCCCAGCTTTCCCTCTAGTTTCTGTGTCCTTGTGCAGTTGCCTGTGAAGACAGAGCCATGTGTTTCATTTAGTTCATCCTGAAGGACTCCAGCCTCCTCTTTTCCTCTCTAGAGCTGCAAGATCTCTGGGTCAGCCTCATTGGGAGGAATGCTATGAATCCCACTGAAAACATTTTTTTCTACCACATTTAGTTGATTATCAATGGAATAGAGGGTTCATTTTCTGTAATGCGTTGGTTTTTTTTTCCATTCTCAATTAATTTTACACATATACAATATACTAAGTGAAAAGTTCAACAAATTGTTTGAAAAAAAATCTGTTCCTCAATGTCGCTCCCCCTCTTCGTGGAGGAACGACACAGGACCCTGCGCTGTTGTTTCGTCTGCTCGGCCCTCCCCGGGTTTGCTGCTGGTTCTTCCCGGGTTGGCTACTATCCCTTCCACCTCCGTGGAAGGGCAGTTCCCCCTGGCCACATTCCCCACTTCCGCAGGGGAGCGGCACACCGCCGGCCGGCTTTCTCGGGGGCTGCACGGGTTCCCTCAGATGTTCCCCATAGATGTTCCTGGTGCATGCCGTCTCTCTCCCCCTTTATAGTCCTCCTCCGCCAATCCCAACTCGGCCGCCCACACGCCGAGCACGCTGCTCTCCTCCAATCAGGAGCAAGTCCTACAGTTTATTAGTTGAACTGGAGGCAGCCGTGCGGAAGCTGTTTACTTCTCTCCCAACGCCATATTGTGGGAGAGCAGATGCATAGAACAAGTCCTAATTCGAGTAACTTAGTCTAGTCCGGATTGCTCCCCACAGATCCCCCTTTCTTTTTATTTTTTAGCGTTGATACGCGCCTGTCTTCGGTGTCCCGCGGCGCATAAGCTGCTAGCCGCCCAGGTGCTCATCGCCTCACTAATCGGGCAGACCGAATCCAAGCCTTCTAATTGCCATGTTGAAGGGAGGCCTTTCTATTTCTCTATTTCTCTATCTCCGGGCATTCCTATTTCTCCCATTCCACTTCTATCTTCCAGCATTCCTATTTCTCTCACTTTACTTCTAAAACTTCTGTTTCTCTTATCCCCGCAGCTTCCCGCTGCCCGCCCCGAGGCTACTTCTCGGCGGCTTCCCAGCTGAGCTGCTTCAGCCCGCGCCTCTTTCATCTGCGCAGCTTCCCGGCTTTGCGCGGCTTGGCTTCGCGCGCTCCGCGGTCTCCACGCCCTTCGCGTCTGCACCACGGCCTACGCCAGCCCCGTTTCCTATCTATTCACGCCCCGTGCTCTCTCTGCACGCGGCGGCTTCCGCGAGTAACACAGCGTAGCTTACGTGTCCGCCACTAGCATTCAATCTAAGTTCCCCGGGCTAGCCTGGCGAATTCAACCCAGCGGACGTCTCCGCCCCACGGTTTGGCTTCCCGTCCTTTGCTCCCCGGGCTAATCAGACGGATCCCAACCTGGCTTGCGTCTCAGCTTCTGGTTTCAACTTTTCGCCCCCTATTCCCGGGCTAACTTGAGAATCCCAAAGTGGCTTTCGTATCCGCCTCGGCCTGCCCCCCGCGGCTTCAATTTCCCTAACACTTTTCTCTACCCGGTATGTTTCCCTAAGTTTTCTTCCAACAATACTCCTCCCTCATTTCTCCTGGCTTCTCCCCACAGTCCGCGTCCGAGTCTGTTTGTTCTAGCTTTCACTTTCGCTTTCGACCTTAGAGATTTCTCCCAGCTTCCCCCCGTAGTCCGTATCCGAGTCTATGCCTAGGCTTTCAATAGCTTCTTCCGGCTCCTTTTTCGTCCGGCTTTTCCCTAGGCTGTTTCGAGTCTATGCCTAGGCTTTCAATAGCTTCTTCCGGCTCCTTTTTCGTCCGGCTTTTCCCTAGGCTGTTTGCTAGTCTCTCTCTCCGATATTTTCCTGCTTCTTCCCGTTTCTTCCCTCTTAAGTTTGCTATCCGACCTAGGTTTCCTAATCCGAGTCATTTCTTCCCTCCTAAGTTTCATATTCGTCCTAAGTTTCCTATCCGAGCTAGGTTTCCTATCCGTCCTAGGTTTTCTATCCGAGTCACGGCACCATTATGTCGCTCCCCGTCTTCATGGGGGAACGACACTAAGCCCTGCCTAGGCTTCATATCCGAGTCACGGCACCATTATGTCGCTCCCCCTCTTCGTGGAGGAACGACACAGGACCCTGCGCTGTTGTTTCGTCTGCTCGGCCCTCCCCGGGTTTGCTGCTGGTTCTTCCCGGGTTGGCTACTATCCCTTCCACCTCCGTGGAAGGGCAGTTCCCCCTGGCCACATTCCCCACTTCCGCAGGGGAGCGGCACACCGCCGGCCGGCTTTCTCGGGGGCTGCACGGGTTCCCTCAGATGTTCCCCATAGATGTTCCTGGTGCATGCCGTCTCTCTCCCCCTTTATAGTCCTCCTCCGCCAATCCCAACTCGGCCGCCCACACGCCGAGCACGCTGCTCTCCTCCAATCAGGAGCAAGTCCTACAGTTTATTAGTTGAACTGGAGGCAGCCGTGCGGAAGCTGTTTACTTCTCTCCCAACGCCATATTGTGGGAGAGCAGATGCATAGAACAAGTCCTAATTCGAGTAACTTAGTCTAGTCCGGATTGCTCCCCACACTCAACAGTTGAGACAAGAGCTGTTCAAAGTCATAGCATCTCAAAGTGTTAATTTTACTTCTATAGACTACTTTTTATGTGCTTTATTAGTTATCACAGATCAGGGAGAACATGTGGTATTTGTCCTTTTGGGACTGCCTTATTTCACTAACTATGATTTTTCCAGTTTCATCCATTTTGTTGCAAATGACCAGATTTGATGTAGACAGGGTTGATGTAGGCACCAGTTGCTATAAACTTTCCTGTTAACACTGATTTTTCCATATCCCATGAGTTTTGATATGTTGTATTATTGTCTTCATTCGTTTCCAGAAATTTTTTTATATCTCTTGATTTCCTCAATGAC